CTGAGGTTGGGCTAAGTCAATCATCTCATCTCATCACATCCCATCCCATCCCTTTACCTCCACCCACAACAAGTTCTGCCTATTGCAAGTGATTGAAGTGATTTTTCCTTTTCAATTTGGACCTTCCTGGCCGACTTGGATTGCTCGAGCTTAAATGCCTTCAATCTCTGTGTCGTCTTTGATTTCAAAGATGAGGTTTTCAAGCCGCATCGTGAATAGGAGACGATGGTGTTTTTTGAGGCAGTGAAGAACTTGGGTTGCTGGGAATATGGACTACACTGGAAACTAAGGGTTCGTGAGGCCTGATTTGGGGTTTTGAAATTCAACAAGTCCTTAAAGATTGAAGTTGACGGAGGATTTGGTAATGGCGAAGGAGGAAGTGAAGTTAAATTTGTCTTCATTTTTCTTGATTCCATTTTTTCTGTGATATAGGGTTTTCTTCAGTGAACTTTTTGAAAGAGAATTGCGGAGCGTTTTTCTGGGGAGTGTTTGAAGGTAGTGAATTGAGGATTTTGAGATTTATCGTTTGAAGTTTGAATTTGAATTTGAATGTGAATGTATGGTGCTCATCAAGCTGGCTCTCTTCTCATGTTGGTTTCTTGGGCTACAAAGAAGGAAGAATTGACATGGTCAGTTGGTGTCGGCGTTGAGGCGGTGATCGGCTGACAACTTGTTGGGAGTGTATTTGATTTTTGGGTTAGGGGATTGGGGAAGATTGAAGGAGATGGATTTTATTTTGTTTATTTTTTATGTTAAAATTACAAAGTTACCATTTTATCCCTGTCTTATTTGGTCAAAATTATTAAACTTTTAATTTTTGAGGTCAACTGACTGTTTTTTGGGTCAAACTGACGGAAACCGTCAATCTGGACTTGGGCTGCGATTTTTTTGAAGGTTTGGTACCTACGGTGGTACAAATCAAAGGTTTGGGCAAAGTCTGCAAAAAAAAGTGAAAGGTTTGATACCGCGATTGCAATTTTCCCAAAAAAAAATGTAAAAGAAAGAAAAGGTGTCACAACTTGGTTTTGGAAAATTTGAGATTGGTTCGATGTTAGTTTAACATAAAGGTAAATATAATGTAATGTAAATCGACTATCAGTCTAAATAAAGAGGTCTACAAGACTTAAACTACATGCAACCAGGCTCAATTTGTGCCCAATGTCGACTTGTATAGGAAACTCAAACCAACTTTCAATTTTATAAACCAGATCAGCCCAGAGACCACAGGTTGGGTTGAATATTATGATTGATATGTTTAAAAATTACATAATTAAAGTATTTGTGAAACATAAAATATTTATAAGTGGAACCGATAATAGTAAAATATATATATATATATATATTAAATTGCTAAGTTGTCGTAACTAGCGGGTTGTCAAGTTGAAGTATCCAACTTGGTGCAGATCAAACGTTAAATAGAACCAATTAAACTATGATTTGAAATTTAATGGTACAGATCGCCTTAGTCTAGAGGGGCCTAGTTTTTTTGACACCACTATTACCTTACAACTAACCTTGTAAACATTGCTTTTAGAACTAAACTTCATGTTTCGACCAAATACTAAATGAACAAACCTTTGAAAATTTTCTCAATTTATTTATAATACATGTTGAGTATTACCTTACAACTAACCTTGTAAACATTGCTTTTAGAACTAAACTTCATGCTTCGACCAAATACTAAATGAACAAACCTTTGAAAATTTTCGCAATTTATTTATAATACATGTTGAGTATTGACAAATCCGATCAATAGCATAAACCTAAAAGACTAGGGCTTCTTCTGTAAAAATTTTAAAATGTCCAAAGAATTTCGTTGACAAACTAGAGGATGAAATACTAATCCGAGTTGGATAGCTCTTAGTAGTACAAGCCTCCGTTGAGCTTAGTGCTCTCGTGTGGTAACCTTATTGTGCTATTCCAATCACATGAACGTGAATTAGCTTAGTGCTCATCCTTCTTCCCTTGGTGGGAGTTCAATCTTGAACTCCACAGTGAAAGTTCTTGGAACATAAAGCTTAAGTCACAGTACCTTAATGGCACGTTTGGTGCGACATATTATAAATAAAGATTAATTTGAATTTGATAACAAGATACCTTCTAGGAAGCACTTTAATTACTTATTCAATTGGTAACTGGTTGAAGAGACATAAGAATGCTAAAATGAACGTTAAAAGAAACTACAATGTTAAATTCATTTTATAAAACTACATCTTTCAATCTTTGTATCAGTAGAAACATGTGCTGCAATCAAACACAGCTTCTTCTACGATAATGCTTAATCATCGTCTTCCTCCTACATTAATTACAAAATAATAAATCAACATAGTCACCAAGTTTTAAGTAAAACTAAATTGTATAGCTTATTCACAACTAACCTCTCCACTGCACTCATCGTCCTCCTCATCATTAACCTCAGACTTTGACTTGTCGGATTCATCATCACCGCCACCAGCCTATATAAATAGTTTGGTACATGTCATTCAATGTCGCAGAAACTAAACAGTGTATAAACACTGAGTTTTTCATAGATGGATTACCAATTTCTTGTTGTAGTCTGCCATTTTTTGCTCATATTCCTCCTTTCGCTTCTCTGCCTTTTGTATAAAAGGAGCTTTTTCCTTATTTTTTCCATAACATTAGGATATTTCTCGATAAGAATAAAATAAAACAATATCTTGGATTGCAATTAATTACCTCATCACTCATGGACTTCCACTTATCTCCACCAGCTTTTCCAACCTATATAATTATTAATTCCCAAAAGAAAATTATCTTGATCACTACAGGTGCAAATTGCTGGCATGAATCTTTTAAGCTACAAAGAAAATTGAAAATGAATGACAAACTCACAACAGCAACTGATTTATTGTTCGGATGTTTTTCCTTGTAATCTTTCCTAAATCCTTCCCTGCAAACACAAACAGCATTGAACACATTAATGGTCTAATTAACCATCTGCCGAACGGCCAAAAAAATAATAATAATAAATAAGAAAAATAGACACAAAAGATAGAGATACCAAAATTGCAAATGGGGCATACATGAAAACAAAGAAAGCACTTGGAGGCCTCTTTGGCTTGTTTGGATCCTTCACTTTCTTTTCCTTCTTGGTCTTCCTCAC